GTGAGATTTGTTCATTTTTGTTTCAATATCTGCAGTTTTCTGACTAATATTTTTCTAATTTGTTGTAAAATGATATTTTAAATTTTGAAAATCACTATTCAAGAAATTGTGTGCAAATTTGTTGGGTTCACTTCATTAAGAATTGTAATTTTTGTGAAAATATCTGCAATTTTCTGTTTTTGATGAATATTTTGTGATTTTTGATCATACTACTGTACATTAACTTATTTTGCTGACTGGAAAATGCGCTAAATTAAAACCCAGTGAATATGTAAAATTTAGCATAGAACACATTATCTAAATGATAAAACTGTGAATTTAAAACCCACTGAATATGCCTGAAATGGTAAATCAGTGAAATTTAAACCCAGTGAAAATTAATCATTTTACAGTATTTGGATTTTTTTGTAAATTTGGTGAACAACAAGTTGGGAAAGATTGTTTGATTCAGTAGCAAGCGTCAACAATCCTATGTGAGACCCATTCCTAACACAACATTAATCAACATGTTGTATGATTAGATGTTATTTTATATTGCAGGAAAAAACAAAAGAACCAGAAGTTGTTGAAACTGCAGCTGCTGCAGTTGCAGTTGAAGCAGTAAAACAAGAAGAAGAAACAGAACCTACAGAGGAAAAGCCATCAGAAGCTCCAGCTGATGAGCCAAAAATAGAAGAAAGTGTCCCAGCGACAGAAGCAACAGCTGAAGTTGCAGCAGCAGAATCAGCACAAACTGAAGAAACAGTTGAAGTGAAAGCCGCAGAAGAGCAACCAGTTAAGGAGCAAGCACCTGAGGAACCCAAACCTGTAGTAGAGGAGAAGTCATCAGAGGAACAAACTCCATCAGCAGAAGAACCCAAACCAGCAGAGGAGCCACAAGCTGAAGAACCCAAACCAGCAGAGGAGCCACAAGCTGAAGAACCCAAACCAGCAGAGGAGCCACAAGCTGAAGAACCCAAACCAGCAGAGGAGCCACAAGCTGAAGAACCCAAACCAGCAGAGGAGCCACAAGCTGAAGAACCCAAACCAGCAGAGGAGCAACAAGCTGAAGAACCCAAACCAGCAGAGGAGCCACAAGCTGAAGAACCCAAACCAGCAGAGGAGCCACAAGCTGAAGAACCGAGACCATCAGAGGAGCTACAAGCTGAAGAACCCAAACCAGCAGAGGAGCCACAAGTAGAAGAACCCAAACCAGCAGAGGAGCCACAAGCTGAAGAACCCAAACCAGCAGAGGAGCAACAAGCTGAAGAACCCAAACCAGCAGAGGAGCCACAAGTAGAAGAACCCAAACCAGCAGAGGAGCCACAAGTAGAAGAACCCAAACCAGCAGAGGAGCCACAAACTGAAGAACCCAAACCAGCAGAAGAGCAACAAGCTGAAGAACCTCAACCTGTTAGTGGGGAAGCAGTTGAAGAACTTAAACCAAGTGAAGAGGCCGCACCTGAGGCACCTGTAACTGAAGAACTCCCACCATCACCTGAAACAGCAGAATCAGAGAGCACAACAGAACCCACTGCTGCTGAGCCACAGGCAAGTGATGCACCAGGAGAAGAAATAGCGGCTCCTGTGGAGTCACAAGAACAAGCACCATCAGAAGAAACCCCAGTCCCAGTAGTAGCACCCGTAAAAACAGAAGAGACAAAACCAGAAGAACCGGCTGCTCCTGAGCCATCAGAGCCAGAAACAGAGTCAACAGAAAAAAAGCAAGAGGAAGAACCAGTTCCAGCAGAACCTACACCAGAGACTCCTTCAGCTGAAGACAAGCCTGCAGAATCATCAGACCCAGTGATAGCACCAGTACCAACACAGGAGGAAGTACCACCTGCTCCAGAAAAAAGTAAAGTTCCAGTGGTCTTCAAATGGAAACATGGTGGCAAAGAGGTTTTCCTGAGTGGTACTTTTAACAGTTGGGAAAGAACACCTTTAGTAGAAAGGTATGTTGCAAAACTATGTGTGTATTTTTAAGCCTGCTTCACACAATGTTAAGAGCACAATAATTTGTATGAATAGCACTATTATTAATACATATCATTTAATTATATACATATGCTATCACTATCAGTTGTTTTGCAAATAATGCATGTTTAATATCCAGTAGCAGAATATGATAAATATACGACAACCCTTTCATGCATGCAAGCAGCTTATGAAGTTAATATATTTGATAACTCTGTCAACATATTGATAACAATAAGAATCAACTAACAAATATATTGTTCTAAAAGCATGCATTTTGTTGATGTATAAGGCTAATCATTACCATACACGTTATCTCTTCTTTACCCCCTGCCTACCGTAATTGATTCATGCTACATATGCTACATAAATTGTGGGCTTAACAGTAATGGCAGCTTCTTAACAACATTAAATCTTGATGAAGGCAGATA